CAAAAAACACACACACACACACACACACACACACACACACACACACACAAGAGAGAGAGAGAGAGAGAGAGAGAGAGAGAGAGAGAGAGAGAGAGAGAGACCTACCCTGTCTCAAAAAGAGAAAAATGTTTGCTCCCTGTCCCAGAATGAGACGTCTACTTTCATGGTGTTTGGTCTACAAAGATGAATGCAGGAAGAATAAAAGATCCACAAACTTTTGCAGAAGAGTGAGATGCCCATTGGAAATATGGTTCCCTCAGAAGCACCCAACTTTTCCTGTGTCCTCCCTAACAAGAGAAAGAACAGAGTTGCCTCTCTGTCCTCTTTAATTCAGTTGCCACGGCATAAATTCAATGTTCTGCTTCCTTTAGACCTTTCCATTTTGAGCCTCAAAAATCCGTCTGAAAGACCCAATTGTTTCTTGATATTTTCATTACTGTTATAACAGTTCAGCTCCATCTCTTGGTAATGTGACTGCCTCTGACTCACTCATGGACAAATTACTAAAAGGAAGTAGAAAACGAAAATCGAGCTAAATGTGAAGACATTCTGACCTCGAAAACACTTCTATGTCCTGAAGGTGGTCCTGCGCAGAACCTATCTCTTCCCAGCTCTGTCTACAGCCCTCTTTCTCTTTGCTATGCACCTGCTTTATTGGTGTGTCCTTCTCATGTCCCAGTCAACAGGAGCCAACCTAAGCATTTATGTGTTGCGTGGTTGGTTACTGGGTGACCACCCCTATTCACTTTCTGTCTCTTTCCCTTTTGGAGTCAGTCCTGGCGACAGTCCCCAACTTCCTGAAGACTTCAGGGGAGTAATCCTCACAGCAGTTTCTGGGGATTACAGTAACACGCTCCATCTGCTCCTGGATGTTTTCATGTCTGTGTAGGACACTGAGGATCCTCAAGGACTCCTAACTGAGATCATTTTCTGTCTTCTGTTAGTCTTGCTCTTGCTGGTCCTGCCCTCGGATTCTGTCATTTTGTTACAGAGCACCTTCACCTGGATGGTCATAAAGATACTCAGAGACAGGTTCCCTGTAGCCTTTCTCTCAAGTCCGGAGTGGGCTGAACTCAACTCCTTTACCCAAAGTTCCAAAGGTTCTTTTAGTTTCGTCCAACTTGATCCACAAATCTGTTTGAGCACATGTTATCAGGTTAGTCAGGTTTATAACGGCACATAGACTAATGTTCTCATGGACGGTAGGTAGTGCCCTTAGAACAGGACAAAGAAATAGCTGTAAGAGGCAAAACACAGGATCTCTTATGAGAATGAAAATGTCTGCCTCCCCCGCACGTGTGTGTGTGTGTGTGTGTGTGTGTACATATGTTTATAGGTGGTGTCTCTAGAGTAGGACAAAGAAATACTTATAATACAAGAAAAGATGCAAAACTCAGGAGCTCATAGGAATTGAAAAGAGTGCCCCCTCCTCCTCCACATTTGACCCTCACCTCCTCCACCCCTTCCTCTCTTTGATGATCCCTCCCCGAAATCTTTCCACCTCAGGTGTTGTCCTTCTCCCTTTCCTATCGCAAGTGTTTTATGACCCTCCCCACACCTCTCCATTACATCGCTTTTCTTCTCTCATAGGTTTCGAAGGATTATTTTGGGAGCTGTATGTAACAGGCAAATGAGTAGTCACCCTAAGTGAGGGATCTCATTCCCTTTAAAAGTCTGAGTGTTGGGACAGAAAAGTGATTGACGTTAGAGCTAGAAACCCAAGCGAACGCGCTGGCCTGTGCTGCAGCCCAGATTAAGTGTCCTTCTGCTGGTAGCTCAAGGAAAAGCCGGCCTTTCGGATCTTCTCTGCCTGCCGGAAGAGGCCTGGGGCCGAGAGCGCCGGCGGAACCCGAGTGCGCGGCCGCGGCGCGAGCCGGGGAGTTTTCTGCGGCGGACGCGTCTCTCCTTAGCGCTCAGTGGAGCCCAGGTGTTCCCGCTTTCCCGGTCCGCTAGCCAGCGTCTACCCCGCCGACATGTCGGGGTTCAGCCCGGAGCTTATCGACTACCTAGAAGGCAAAATCTCCTTCGAAGAGTTCGAAAGGCGGAGAGAAGAGAGAAAAACCCGGGAGAAGAAAGTGAGTCGCTGGGCCCCCGGGGCTCCTCGGTCTGGTTTCCCCGAAGCGGTGGGCGTGCGGAGCACGGGGTGGGCGGGGGACTCGAGCTGGTTCCTCCTCTCCCAGAAATTCCGATTTTCGTCCCGCACCCCCGAACTCAGAGCCTCCCAAGACATCCCCCAGCTCACAAGCTGGCCTCTGTGGGCGCCAGGCTCCCGACTCCTTAGTGTTGTTCGGTGATAAGCCCAGTGTCCTACGGTTAACTGGAGCTGGAGGAGTCTGGAGCCACGGTGGTCTTGACTGGTCCTAAACCTGGTCTTGCCACTAGGTTGTCACCGTGGACGGGGCACGTACGCGCCACTGTTTTCTAGGAACCGGACCCTTTGTTTTTGTCATACGTACAGTGGTCTTGGGGGCCAAACCTCAAGACCTCCAGCTTGCTGGACAACCCCCCCTCCCCCTCCATTGAGCTACATCCCAGGTGTGCCCATTTTAGATGAGTCTCGGTGGTGCAGTTTTATCCTGGACATAAAAGTGAATTCAGTTGCCTGACAGCAAGAACATCTTTTTACTTTGCTTTTCAAATTTTAGTAAATATCTGAACTTAAAAAATTGTTCTCACGCCGGGCGGTGGTGGCGCATGCCTTTAATCCCAGCACTCGGGAGGCAGAGGCAGGCGGATCTCTGTGAGTTCCCGAGGCCTGCCTGGTCTACAAGAGCTAGTTCGAGGACAGGAACTAAAAGCTACGGAGAAACCCTGTCTCGAAAATTCAAAAAAAAATTTTTTTTATCACTTATTTGAAGGCCAGTCTGTTGACTTTTGAAGTTAGGCCGTGGTTTCTTACTGATTCGTGGCCGCCTAAGCACCCTATGTTTTATTTATTTAAGTGTTAGATTAATGAAATTCAAGTATTTTAAACTATCCTGTACATATTTGCAAATGACTTACATAAGGTTAAGACTTAAGTACTTTGAAAAACACTGAAAGTGTTCAAATTCAGATTCCACCTCCCACAAGTGGAGGTTCAAGTTTTAAAAATGCCCAGTCCCAGGCTGGGAGAGTTAAATCCGTGTAAGTTTTTGAACGGTTGAACTAATATTCAATCGCAGAGCGTTCCAGAAAAAGGAAAACCATCACCCCAAGAAAACCCGGAAGTCCCATCATCATCAGGAATTGACTCTGCCAAATCCCAGGACAAAGATGCCAATGAAGGTGGGTGGACTTCGTTTGCTGCCGGCTTTAAATGCTAAGAGCCCTTAGCCAAAATGATACAGTAAAACCACTTGCTTTCGCTGTAAAAATAGCCTGCTTGCATTACCTGGTTTATCAGTGTTTGGCACATAGTAGCTGCTTAATATTTATTTTTTAAACGGTTGTATGTCATGATGGATGTTTATTTATTTATTTATTGGATGTTTTGGTATAGTTCCAGTGTTGTGAGTTTTAAAATTGATGCCAGCGTTTGTTCAGGGCCTTTTTACTGTCATTTGCTAAGTTGACCTCAGTGGGAGAGTTCTTGCGGACTGTAGCAGATCGTGCCGCTGTGCAGACTCCGGTGCTTAGATGGCACTTCACGTATGTCATCGGTGTTTTCGTGTGCTGCCTCGCTCCAGCAGCCAGACTAGGTGCTTTTAGTCAGCTTGGCACAGACTGGAGTCACCAGGGCAGAGGGACCTGTTGTTGGTTAGTAGGCATGTCTGTGGGCCATTTTCTTGACTCATGATTGATCAGCCCACTGTGGGTAGAGCCACTCCTGGCCAGGAGGTCCTGGGTTGTATTAGAAAGCAATCTTAGCGAGCTTTGGAGAGCAAGCCAGTGAGCACTGTTCCTGCATGGTCTCTGCTGCGGTTGTACCTCCAGCTTCTTGCCTTGACCTCCTCCTCTGGCTTTCCTGGATAATGGCCTGTCACCCTTAAACCATGTATGTCCTTTCTTCCTTAAGTTGGTATTGGTTACTGTTTTGTCATAGCAACAGAAAGGAAACTACGCTACAACCCTTAGCTTGCCATATCCAGATATTATAGCTGGTTAGTACATCTGGACTAATTAAGCCCATCACAGCCTAAATGAGTATCTAAATGAGTGCAGATATTTATTAGTTTCTATTGATTGATGTATAGTCCTACTGATCAGAATGCCGATCATATCCATTTGCCTCTCAAATTACTTGGGTGGCTTGTGTCAGTTAGAATGTGGCTTCATGTTTAGGGACCTGGTTGGTGAGCTCAGCTCAGCTCGACTTTTATGTGGTACTTTTGTCTCTGAGCAAGTAAGCTCTTGCATGGAAAACTCACACTTTATTCCTGAGTTTCTGGACCCTGTTGGAAGAAGAGACAAGGAGACAGTATTGAGCTTAGTGTCTCCCAGGCAACTGGGGTAGGAAGGGGCTGAAGAAGCCCTGGCAGCCTGTGGGTCCTTCTGACCAGTTAGGGAAAACCAGCTCTTCAGTAGATAGTCTTTGGGGTACACTGACAGCCATCCTTAGTATTTAAGACCATTAGGCCTTTCACTGGGGAAAGCAGGAGTGGGAATGGGGTCAGCTGAATCCATTTCTAGTGGATAAGAACTGGCTGGCCACAGCTGAAGTCATCCCGTCAGTCAGAGCTAAGATACTCCTCTTCCTCGGGATGGATTGTCCCGACTCTTTGGAGACTCTTGGTATTGTAAGCATATATTCAGAGTAGATGACAGGTCTCCTTGGACAAGCTCTGGCAAAAACTACAGATTGTCTCTAGAATTATGTCTTTTTCCTCTTTGATGTTTCTGAATACCAAGTTTTAAGATCATTTCCTACTTACAACACAGACTGGGCATTTTAATTTCACCTGCTGTTCATTGCTGGTTTATAAATCTACTGTCTAGTAATCCCAGCAGCTACTGGGGAGACTGTGACAGATGGATCCTAGGTTAAAGACCATTCTGAGCTACAGAATGAATTCGAGGCCAGCCTGAACTTACTGAGACTCTGTCTCAAAAAGAAAAGGGGAGCTGAGGATACAACTCAGTGTAGAGTACTTCTCTGGCAGTGTATGCAAGGCCCTGGGTTCAATTCCTTGCAACTTTAAAGCCTTGTATCTAATAGCTTTGCCAGATAACTGTGTATTCTAGCAATTTGTATGTAGAATCTTTTGGATTATATAATATATGACATGTTTTGTGTATAATGATAATTTTATTTCTTAAGCATGTGTGCATATGCATGTGTTCATGTGCATGCGTGCCTATGTATTGAGGCCAGAGATGGACATTGAATGTCTCCCTTTAGCACACTCCAGCATGATTTTTGAGATAGGGTTTCTCACTGTCTCAGTCATTGCTCTATTGCTGTGAAGAGACACCACGACCACAGCAACTTGTACCAAGGAAAGCCTTTAATTGGGGGCTTGCTGACAGTTTCAGGGTTTAGTCCATTATTGTCATGTCAGCCGGCGTGGTGACAGGTGGGGTGCTGGAGAAGTAGCGAGGAGCTGCATCCTGATCCAGAGAGAGAGAGAGGGAGGGACGGAGGGAAGGAGGAAGAAGGAGGGAGGCTGTTGGGACTAATGAGTCCTGGCTTTCAGCTGCTCTTCCCTCCTAGAACCTTCTAATTAAAGTTACTAGAAGCTGTGCCTAGCTTAGAGGATCAGAGGATGGGATTATCACCTGTTGGCCATTGACTGCAGTGTATTTAAGCCTACATGGTGCTAATAAAGAGGAGCTTTGGTATCAGTGTTTGAAGGTCTGTGTGTCGGTCTGTCTCTATGTCTGTGTTCTCAACCTCCAGCCCCTTGCCCGAAGCTCGCAAACTGAGGTCTAGCGCATAGAGCGCAGACCAGGCCGCGGTGCATGGCAGGAGGGGCTGGGCCTAGGTGGGCTTTTGAAACTTAAAAGTCTCCCCCCCCCCATCCTACCTCCCAAAAGGCCACACCTACTTCAACAAAGCCACCCTTCCTAATCCTTGGCACATAGTGCCACTTCCTGGTAACTAGCATATCAAGTCTATGAGCCTGTGGAGGACATTCTTATTTCAACCTCTGCACTCCCTAAACCTGGAGCTCACCGATTGGCTAGATGAGTTGGCTGACAAGCTCCCATCCTGTACTCAGCCTCAGGCCTCTCAGGTTTCAGCTGCAGGCTCAGTTGCCATCTACCGTGTCACTGGGCTCCCTTAGGTCCTACCTGTGCCTTGTGACGGATGCTGTCTCCCTTCTCTGATTGTCCCTGTTACTGTGGTTTTGCTTTTGCTTTTGCTCTTCCTTTGCTTGTCTGGATAAGGCACAGAGAGGGAACCAGCCTTTCCTGCAGAGTGAAAGACGTGGCTTTGCAATAGCTTTCTTTTCTTTTTGGGGGGTGGGGAGGATGTTCATTTGCCATTACTTTCAGGTTTGTTGTTGCTGAGGTTAGGAATTTGTGCTCCATGAACAGGCAATTTTTTGAAAGTTGTTTTACTGATTTCCTAACCCCACAACTTCAATGTACCGTTCCTTAGGAGAAACATCCGATGGAGTGAGTAAGTCAGTTCACAAAGTGTTTGCTTCCATGCTCGGAGAGACTGAAGATGATGAAGAAGAAGAGGAAGAAGAAGAGGAGGAGGAGGAAACTCCTGAGCAACCCACCGCAGGCGATGTGTTTATGTTGGAGATGGTTCTCAACCGTGAAACCAAGAAAATGATGAAAGTAAGTTGTTATTTTAGTTCTTATAAAAATATAAGAAAGTGATATGGTCATTGAGCAGGAAGCTTTCAGTTATACTTGGGAAATAGTTCAACAGTAAGAACAAAAACTGGGAGGAAACTGCCTGTTACTCATTTCTTTCTTTTTAAAATTTAACTTTTATTTCATATATGTGTGTAGTTTCTGCCCACCAGTAGCTCCCAAATAAATACACTGAGGCTTATATTAATTAAAAAATGCTCGGTCAGTAGCTCATGCTTATTACTAACTAGCTCTTACAACTTAAATTAACCCATTTCTTTTAATTGTTGTGTTGCTATGTGGCTTGTGGCTTTACCTGTCCTCCAGCTGTCTTGCTCCCTGTGTCTCCTGGTGACTCTAATAGACTCCACCCTTTATCCTCCCAGCATTCTCAGCTTGGCTGTCCTGCCTATACTACCGGCCAGTCAGTTCTTTGTTAACCAATGAATGTAATATATATGGACAGTATACAGAAGGACTCTTCTACAGCATGTGTGTATTGTATTTACATCATTTCCCTTGTCTTCTCCCTCCAACCCCTCCTGTGTCATCCCTGTGCCCCCTCTAAAGTCACAGTCTCTCATTATTCTTGTTACGTGTGTGTGTGTGTGTGTGTGTGTGTGTGTGTAGGAGAGAGAGAGAGAGAGAGAGAGAGAGAGAGAGAGAGAGAGAGAGAGAGAGAGAGAATAAATTAGTACAACTTGCTGTGTTCATTTAATGTTGCTCTTGTGTCTGTGTTTAGGGCTGACTGCTCGGGAGTGGTAACCTATCAGGGTTACTAATCTGATTCTCCCTCCCTTTCTCAGCAGCACTGATTGCTGTAGCTCTTCATCTAGGGCTGGGGCCCTGTGAGATCCCCCCCCCCCATCCACACTGGCCTGTCAATTGGCACTGTTATTTTTCAGATTTTACTTAGTTAACCATACACTGCCATATGTAGAAGACACTGTTTCTCAGCAGACCTCCTGGTTCTCTGGCTTTTAAAACTTCCCACTCCCTGTCTGCAGTGTTCCCCAAGCCTTAGCTGTAGGAGTTGTGCTGTAGACTGCCGTTTTGACCAGCTGTGGCTTTCTGTCACCGTTCCGTGTGCTGCAGAAAGAAGCATTGTTGAGGATGAGAGCTGCTCTAACCTGTGGGTGTAAGGAGGAATATTTAGAACCTGAAGTTGTGCTGGTTTAGGGGAAAGTAAGCTCTTCTAGATTCCATGGCTCCACCAGTCATGAGAAGCTGCCCAAGTTACAGAACGTTTTAAGTAAACATATCACTGTGAATCGTACGGCTTTTTAAAGCATCTTTTGTGCCACCTACCCCTCTTCCCTGGTAAGTCTTCCTCACCTGCTTTTCCTGTTTCCCTTTCATAACACCTGCGCCCCGCTATTCCCTTCACTAGGTGACATGATTTCATCTCCTTCCTAGCCGAGTAGTGTTCCATAGTGCGCATATACCGCATTCTAATTATTAATCCACCTGTTCCAGGCCATTCGCATTATTTCTTACCTGTAGTGAATAGAGCATCAGGTACCACGGTGAGGGATTACCTGTGGAGTAGGGTCCCTGGGATATATGCAGAGGCATGGTCGAGCTGAGTTATATGCTAGATGTGTTTTTAGCTTTCTGAGGAGTCTCCACACTGCTTGTGGAGTGGCTAGTCCAGTTTAGTTCCCACCAACAGTGGCTCCTACCTGCCCTTGCTCCTCCCCCAACCTTGACATTTGCTGTTTTGTTAACCTGTGATAAAATTTCAAAGTTGTCTTTATTTGCATTTTTCTAGTAGATAAGGATGATAAATACTTCTTGAGATATTTCTTAGCCACTTTTATTCCTTTTGAGAACAGATTTCAAACCTATTTCTTTTAATTAAGTCATTTGTTTTCTTGACTTTTTTTGAGTTCTTTATATATCTGGTTCTTAATCCTCTGTCAGATGAGTATTTGACAGTCTCTCCCACTCCATGGGATTCCTTTTCACTGGGTTAATGATTTCCTATACTACGGCCTTTGAGTTTTATGAGGCCTTTGTTTCCTGTACATAAAGGCCTGGTTTCATGAGGTCCCTGTTTCCTGTATTAAGGCCTTCTGGTTTTATGAGGTCCCACTTGTCAGTTGCTGGTCTTAATTCCTTGAAAAGTGGATCCTGTTTGAGGAAGTCTTTCTCACACCTGCCATGTTTCTTCCGGCAGTCTCAGTTGAGGTCTGTGATCATCTGGAGTTAGTTTTGCCTGGGTGGTATAGATTTGGGGTTAATTTTGTTGTATGTGTGGACATCCAGTTTTCTCAGCATCTTTGTTCTAGGCAGGCAGCTGTAGTTCTGCGTACTCGTGTTTGGGTGTTGTGTTTGATCAGTTGGTCTGCTGTCTGTCTGTGTCAGTGTCCTACTGTTTTTGTTGTTACAACTCTATAATATGTCTTGAAATATAGCAGGGTAATCCCGTCAGCATTGGCTTTTTTTTTTTCTCAGAATTGCTTTGGCTATCCAGGGTTTTTTGTGTTCCATATAAGCTTTAGGATGGTGGTGGTGTTGATATTTCCCCCTATTTCTGTGACGAACCATTAGGGTATTTCCATTGGGATAGCATTGAATCTATAAAATTGCCTTTGGTAGAATGGTTATTTTTACAATATTCTGCCAATCCATAAATTGGAGGTCCTTCAATCTTCTAGTGTCTTCCTTAATCTCTTCAGAGGTCAAAGTGTCATTGTAGAGGTCTTTTACTACCTTAGTTAGGTGTATTTCTAGAGATTTTCTTTTCTTTGAGGCTACTGTGAATTGTCATTTATTTCTTATGCTTCATTTTGGAGAAATTTTATGTAAAACTATTGTTCTTATGTCAAATGTTTTGTAGTTTTGCTACTGAAAAACCTATAACTCAGTGGGTTTTTGTTGTTGTTTACCGAGTTTTGTTTCTGATGAATTTCCAAGAAGGACTTTCTAGTAAGTGTTCTGTATGGAATGACAGGGGATCTAGTAAGTGCTCTCGTATGGAATGACAGGGGATCCATTTTGTTGCATGATGATACTGTTGTATAGGTCAGCAGCTCAGTAATTCCTGGCCATTTGACAGTTTGTATTTAATTGTACTATGGACTTTCAACTGTAGGAAGGTTTTTGGTTTTTTTTTTTTTTTTTGGTTTTTATTTACTTATTTTTGGTATTCCTCTTTGGAGAATATCAAAATAATTTTGAACTTTCCTGCATTTGAGTTTTAGCTTGTTTTGTGCAATTGGATATAAAATTAAGGCGTTGGAATTATGACTGAGCGCCTTGTTCCGAGTTTAGAAGATTTACAAGTTCTAGAGGGAAGTTCCCATTATGTTTTCTGTGTGGATTTGGATTGAACTCCGCTTTATCTTAATCTCCATGTTGTTTTCCTCTGAACAGGAGAAGAGGCCTCGGAGTAAACTTCCCAGAGCCCTGAGAGGTCTCATGGGCGAAGCCAATATCCGCTTTGCTCGAGGAGAACATGAAGAGGCCATATTGATGTGCATGGAAATCATAAGACAAGGTGTTGTCTGCAGGAGAATAGCTAATTGATTGACATTTTTAGCAAGTGGGGATGTGTTTGATTGTGCAATTTATGACAGTCCATCCAGAAGTGAGGGGTGGCTGTGGTAATAGGAGCCCGCCACTTTTCACACAGATAGGAGTTACTGGGAAACGGAAGCCTCGGTGTGAGCCAGTGAAGATCAGTAATGTCTTCTAAATCTTTCTGGCCCCTCCCTCCTTTCAGCTTTTCATTTTAGGTTTTTAGCCTTTTATAGCATCATTATTATTATTACTGGTTTTTCGAGACAGGGTTTCTCTGTGGTTTTGGAGCCTGTCCTGGAACTAGCTCTTGTAGACCAGGCTGACCTTGAACTCACAGAGATCCGCCTGCCTCTGCTGGGATTAAAGGTGTACGCCACCACAGCCCAGCTTATTTATTTCATCTTATAACTGTTTATTTTGAAAACACTTTGACTTTACAGCAGTTGTTGAGATCTTTTTTTCCATGAATAATATTTTAGGGTAATATAGATTACCCAGCTCATTTGACACCCAAGACTGAGGTGCTGTCTGGTCCTCTGTGTGCAGAATCCCCTGTGTGCAGATCCCCGTGTGCAGATCCCTGTGTGCGGGTCCCCTGTGTGCAGGTCCCCTGTGTGCAGGTCCCCGTGTGCAGATCCCTGTGTGCAGATCCCTGTGTGCAGGTCCCCTGTGTGCAGGTCCCCGTGTGCAGGTCCCCGTGTGCAGATCCCCTGTGTGCGGGTCCCCTGTGTGCAGGTCCCCGTGTGCAGATCCCCGTGTGCAGGTCCCCTGTGTGCGGGTCCCCCGTGTGCATTCTTTCTCATGGTGGAGGAGTTTGCAGCAGTGCAAGCTCAGCCACACCAGTGGATGTGCTGATGCTTCCTGGGTAAAACACCCAAGTTTTTAGGCCATATTTGGCCTTGGTAAAAAGAGATTTTCCCAAGGAAGGTGTGGCAGAAAGGAGAGTTTTCTTGAAATTGTATTTTGTTAAAAGAAAATAATGCTTTTAAAATGATACTGGGTCTTGATGGCACTTGCTCTTAGTTTCCAGAACTAGGGAGGCTGGCAGGGTTCTCAGGTGACCAGGCTGAGCCAGGTAGTGACTCTGAGGCAAGTAGCAAGAGCCCACCTCGAATACAGACGAAGGCTGAGCGTGTTTGAAAGCAAAGTGTAGTATAGCTCTGTGTTATCGAAGTTGTGGTGAATTGTTTTTATAGCTCTGTTGGAATGATCAGAGCTTAGATAGCGGAAACAGTCTGCAGTTTGAATGGTAGTGTCCGTACCAGCTTAAGCCTCCTCCGTTAGCCAATGAAATTTGTTTTATTTTTATTCTTTTAGCTCCTTTGGCTTACGAGCCATTCTCTACGCTTGCCATGATATACGAGGACCAAGGTGACATGGAGAAGTCGCTGCAGTTTGAGTTGATTGCTGCACATTTAAACCCCAGTGACACAGAAGAGTGGGTTAGGCTGGCAGAAATGTCTCTGGAACAAGACAATATTAAGCAGGCTATTTTTTGCTATACAAAAGGTAATGCCATTTTTCTTGTGTAGATGGAAAGAAATTATTTTTCTTATTTTGTTTCATTAGTTGTTATATGCATTTATTCTCTTGTTATATTGTTACTCCAACTGTATTTCTTTCTCTCTTTTTTTTTTTAATTTAACTTTTTCGAGAACTTTATATATGAGAACTGCATCTGCCTTCCCTCTTCCCTCCAGTTCCCCTCAGGCCGCCCTCCAAATTCATGCTCACCTCTCTGAGAGAGCATGTGTATACATAAATGTATAAATACATAAATCCTGCTAAGTCCATTTAGCTTTACTTAGATGGCCATGTGTTTAGGGCTAACCACTTGGAATAGGAAAATACCTCCCTCCTCCCTCAGTACCCACTGATCCCCTGTAGATCTTCTGGGGGGGGGGGGCTGTGTGGAATTTTCCTGAGCCATGTGGGCGTATCAGCTGCTGCCATTATGCTGGTCTTGTTCAGGAAACTGTATTGTTGAGGCTCATGGGTGCATCTTCCATGTCGTGTCTGGGGTACCGTCTCACAGCAGACACCCTGCCCTCTCATCTGCGATCTCCCCTGATGCTTGGGTGTGCAGGCTGTGCTCCCAGAACTGTTAGTGAGTGAGTTGTTTCTTTCATCTGTTGAACAGTGTGCCATGACCAAATGGATTTGTTCCTCATAGTCTGTTACAGCATCTCCCTGGTTCTCACGCTTTATTTGTGACTTGCTTTGTATTGCATTGACTATAGCACAGAATTTCAGGTTTCCCACTGAGGTCGGGGCTGCCTTCAGGCTGTTAGCGTTTATGGCTTGAGTGACCAGATTACTGTAGAAAGCCAAGTCTGGCCTTAGACCAAGCCTGTTCAAGAATTCTTGTGAAGATAGATTTATTCCAGAATAATTTTATTATTATGTTTATTACATTCTTGAGGTAAGTCACACATCTTTTGACAAATATGTAACTTTTTTATTCCTCTTTTTTTTTTATAGCTCTTAAATATGAACCTACTAATGTCCGTTACCTATGGGAGAGATCAAGCCTGTACGAGCAGATGGGTGATCATAAAATGGCCATGGATGGCTATAGGCGTATTTTAAATCTTCTGTCTCCGTCTGATGGAGAACGCTTTATGCAGTTGGCCAGAGATATGGCAAAGTAAGTCTGAAGTGAAATGTATATACATATATGTCTTTATTAGTTGTTTGCAAATCAAGGCTATTTGAAATAGAATATATTTTACATTGAGGTCCAAAGAAAATTTTTGTCTTCTGTGTTTTATATTTGTCCAGTTATAGTGTTTTTTTATTTAGTGCTTTTTTGTTTCCAAGTTGACTGTGTGATTGCTTAGGAAATTTCGTATGTGAGATTGCATTTCCAGGGCTCAGACTCTGGAAAGTGAGGTGTATCTGCACGGGGCTCAGATGCTGGAAAGTGAGGTGTATCTGCACGGGGCTCAGACTCTGGAAAGTGAGGTGTATCTGCACGGGGCTCAGATGCTGGAAAGTGAGGTGTATCTGCAAGGGGATTAGACTCACAGGGTTCTGTGACTTAGTTGAAGTTGTGTTTGCAATTTTTTTTACAGATGATTTTTTTTATTGCAATGTGTCAATGAAATCCTCGTGGTCTGTACTGTCTCTAATCCTGAGTCAGTACTAGAACAGAACGTCTCGTGTTGGCCGTTCCTGTCACAGGCTTGCTCTTCAGAATACTCGTTCCCCCACTGTGTTGTGAAGCAGACAAAGCAGGAGCCATGTGGCTAAGTGACATCTCCTGCTGTCCTTCTGTGTGAAGACCGTGGTGCGGCGTTTTATCCTGGGGTTCACTGTCTTGATTTTGGTATTAGGATTATCCCGTTAGCTCTGGGCCGCCCCTCCCTCCTCCAGGACAGTAGACAGACGTTTCCACGTTGGTCAGGGAAGCAGCTCTGAACTGATGGCTGATGGTATGTCTGTCGTGAGCACGGAGGGTCTGCTCGGATGACCTGCCCCTAAGTTTGTAGCGACTGCAGGGTGTGGTCTAGGAGACCCGAGGAGTCCTCAGGTGGCTTGTGATGATCACCTTGTTTTGCACATGTATTGTATGTGCAGAGGGACAGTGGCCAGTTGATTGATTAGGCTTTGTTGTGGTCCTCAGTTACTCTCCAGAAACATTCATTGACTGTAACTTCCATAGGCACTGAACAACTATGAAAAGTTCTCTGCCCTCATACAGTCTATACCCTGTGAGGGGAGATAGGCAGTAACCAGATAACAACCAGATATTACTGTATCACATTATAGGTGAGGACGAAAGCAGGGAGAGGGGGTAGGAGTACAGGGGATGGAGTGTGCTGTCATGAACAGTGTGGGGGAAGGGAGCCGCTGCTGAGGGAAGAGGCTCCGGGCGCTGCATTAGGGTCAGCACAGCAGCACAGCAGAGAAGTCTCAGGAGTGAAGCAGCCGGCCCTTGTGGGCTCTGGGAGGGACTGTGCCTTTTACTCTAAATGAGTTTCGAAGTCACTGAAGGGTCTGAGTAGAAAATGGTGATTTGACTTAAGTTTTAAGTGCATCAGTTTTGGTTGCTCTTTTGAGCAAAACTTGAAGAGTGGCAAGGGCAGAGACAGGATGACAGACAATTACGGAAATGATGCTTGGGAGGGAAAGTCATAGCTTAATCAGGGCAGAAGCTGCAGAAGGCATAAGAGTGATAAGATTCTCGATGAAACTCAAGAGTTCAGCTAAAGAGGTGGTAGATATGGGTGTGGGGGGGCTCGTGTGTACTGGAGGGAAGGAAGATGGGGATACCGGGTGTG